AGGAGTGATGTGGGACATCGATGGGGACATCGCTGATTTTTAACTACAACTTATTTTCTCCCGATGACCCCCACCGATTCGCCCGATTGAATCTGTCACCGTCCGATTCAATGGGTTTCCGGCCTGCAACCACGCCATTTTTTCAAAAAAACACATCGGTTGCGCATCGTATACCCACCCCATCGCTGGATAATGTGACTGATACTTTATTCAGCCAAGAAAAATCATATTTCCTGAGGGCTTTCTTGGCTGAATAAATCTTCATGTTTACCGAACATTCATTCAATAAATTGTTTATTTTACCGAAACAAGCAAAAACTTTAAAAATAAACATAAACTTTCACATTAATCACCGCGCTTAAATTCACTTTAAATTTGAACGTAATGTCACTGAATCAATTTACAAAGGTTGTGACGTGAACCAGGCTATTGTGACGTCTACTACTTTAACGTGATTATCTAGAACCAATCAGATAACGCTTTGTATAGAATAATTATAATGAGGTATAATAATAATAAATATTATTTCAATAACATTATACCTTAAAATACTTGCCCTGTACATTTGGTGGGGAAAAGTTCGTTTGAGTACTAATTTAATAGTGACAGTTTATTTTTATTTAAAAAAGAGTTCACTCTGATATTGCCGATTTAATTCTTAAAAGATGTGAACGTCATATTTATGTTTCAAAACTGTTCATCTAGTACATGTACATTGTATTTTTGTTCCTGAATATTAAGAATCCTTTTAAAATTGTAATGTTCAGTTCCAGGTTGGGAAAATATGTTTTTATCACGGTAAACGCATTATATACTTAGTTTATTTAAAGGTCCATTGGCATCTTGTTCCAAAATACATTAATTTGGTCCCAGTTGTTACCACACCATAGGCTTGGGTGCTAAACTTCCAGTCGTGGCTTTGCATATCAACTTGACTAATAGCAGGACAAAATTTGAACAAAAAGGTCCTTTACTTTAAGGTAATCCAGTGCGTTTTATCTCTCTTATAATAGTGTCAATGAACGTTATATAATGCTTCATCAAAGTCCTGAATAACTATTTTACAGATAAAAATTTTGACGTACAATTAGCCTAAGTCATTTTCAAGATAACGATCTTTGGCTTCCTGTTAAAAGTTTGGAATCTTTGTCGTCGAGTAAAAGTGTACCGAAGGAAAAAATAACAGGACAGCAAAAAAAAAGAACAAGATGTGTTTGGGAAGCATTGATGTCCCCTTATGGCAGCTAATGGCGAAGGTTAAAGTTTCTCAAGTACATGTCAAATTCCAAGGTCAAGAGATCAAAGATGTTGTTACCCAAAAAAAGGACTTTTGTCAATCTTCAATTATTATGGGGGCATAAAAAATGAAAATTAACAACCTTTCTACACTTAGACAGGGCACTATCGTTTTAAATATTGCAGTATGTTAGTCTCGCTCAACCAGACGCTCTGTTGTCTACTTGAACTCTGATGAGCAGAGAGTCGATAGAACTCGTGATAGCGTTTTTAATGCCAAAACTAGGCTTACCAGAATTTCTGGTAAAGTTTTTGATTGTCTGAAAAGAACATCTGCACAGTTGTAACAATTACATAATACCGTATAACGGGTATTTTCTGCGGTTGTCAAATTTTTGCGGATAGGACAAATCCGCAAAAATTACAATCGCAAAATATTTTTCAATATTTCTTCAGATATATATTTTATACATGCAAGTATGATAAGTGGTGCGTATGTCCTCGTTAGCGAGAAAATTCGGGTGTCATCGAAATTCGAAGATTTTAGATATCAGGATTTTTCCAAAACATATTGAATTAAAACGTTGCTGTAAATTATATCAATTTAATAAGTTTATACAAAAACATCTTTTCTTGTACCTACTTCTTTATTTTATACGGATATACATGTACATGTAAATGACTAAAAGAGATTTCGCAATTGATAGTCCAAACTCCGATAGCTGCAAACAACACATACCGGTAGTAGCTTTTCTTTCTTTCTTTAACACTTTTCTCAATCTTGTGTTTTATCTGGAGACCATAATTACTGCTTGTATACACAAAGTGGCTTGATTAATTGTCTCGTGAATTTCACACAATGCAGACGACTGACAGGATTAGTTACACCTCAATGCACATGGCACCTGTGATTGTACAAGGTCAACTTTAGGTTACTTGATCATGCAACTGTTTGTTTGAGCTTAAAATATAAACAGCAGATTAATTTTGATGGCAATTAAATATAAGTGTATTTTTTAGAATATGGCTTGGATGCATTAATTATCTATATATTAAAATATTTTAATAGATCGCATAAAACGTTTGTTACAATGTAGAATAAAGATTTTTTATTGTTGTTTGGGTGGACCGATACTGCAATAATTCATTTAAATTGGGACTCGACATAATTTTACAAAGACTAACTGAAAGATAGTAGTTTAATTAAGCTTAATAGCTTAATACCAGTTCTCATGCAACTTTGATAAATATGCCTCAATGAATTTATAAAACGTAAACATGGCAGCTATCTGATAATTCTTAGAGATTGGTGATCATACCCAGTAAATAATTTTTTGTGGTATAATGCAACCGCAGAAATTGAAAACGCAGAAATTAATTTGCTATCTTTAAGGGGTTAAATCGCAAAAATTTCCAACCACAGAAAATACCCGTTATACGGTAAATCTGTAGAAAATTAACTTAATTATTTATAAGTCTACAAGCTATAGCAGAATTATTTGTAGTATTGCCCACAAGTTATGTGTGTGTTGTACATTGTTTTTCAAAACTTATTGTCCGAAGCAGAAATGAAAGTAGTATCACCTATATCGTCGATTGTTATTTCTCTTTTAGTAACCCCAGCAAATGGTTAGTTTATTAAAATAAAAACACGATCCATCGGCAAAAGCTTTGTTTTCAAAGGGGTAGTCAAACTGAACACAAGGTAACGCCCTCTGACGGTTACAAACGATATCGATTCTTTGCTAGTCGGTGTTCACGGTGAAAGACAAACGGTATGTTGGTCATGTGATCTTGATACAATCAACGGAATCCATTGAATAACTGCCATTACTTCCAAAGATCAGGTAATATATTCAAATTATAGTTATATATTATGATGACTTTTACCATCTGTTATCTAAAGAATTTAATATATACAAGCATAAAATACCTAATTTAAATGTTTTACAAACGTCTTTTGAATACCATTAAAATAAAGCTGAGTTCTGAAACAAAAGAAATAAAAATCATCTAGTATGTATACAGAAATCATATCAATTGAGTACCGTATCTCAAATTTGGGGCTGATTTCAATTGCACGCAATACACAGGTAACAGTATAGAGGTTGCGAGCAGCTGGTGGTGATACAAAGCCTATAACAGACAACCAAAACTGCAAACAATTACAACATTGTTTTGGTGTTTCAATACACTGTTTAAAAATATTCTAAAATGCATATTTTCTGGTAACTTTTTAAAAAACTTTATTGAACTACATGAATAAACTACAGGTATAACATTTTTGAATTGAAATGTTCCTCACAGTGTAATACAATATTTTTTAACAATCAGATTACCAATGTCTAAAGTACAAAAAGAAACACATTGAACCTTTTGAACATTGTTCCTTATGTAGAAGAAGTAACGATGTAATAAACTTGTAAAAAATAAAAGATCTGCATTAAATGGTGTTAAATAAAACCTAGTGAACGATTGGCTTAGTTTTAACATATTTCATTGAAATAAATAATTATATAAAATGGGATTGGGCACGAGCTCTGAAAACTTAATTCCCCCTCTCCCTAAAAGATTATAACATTGTAAATGCATTTTGGTAAAGCTTTTATGTACGTCAAGTAAAAGCCTGTCAAAGCAAGTAAAAAGGCCCCCGAATCCTCTAGTGGGAGGGGGACTGCCCATCCTATACTTTTTCCCTTCGGCCCTTCTGGCCTTAAATTCTCCCAAGAGAACTTCTGGATCCACCACTGAAGGAAATAGTTTTTTAGCTCAAGTTTTCTTAGACACTGTACACCGCCTTGTAAATAAATAAAATTAGATTTCGTTTTACATAATGGTTGTCTTTCATCCATAATTCAGTGCAAACTGCACCCTAGTCTTGTTGCATTGAAACGAGAAGTGATTTCCTATTGTCCTGTTTATTTCACACCTAGAATTCACGATTTTAAATGCAATAAACAAAGGCTTTATCTGCATGCATTGTATAAAAAGGCTAGGATTCAGTAAACACAAATTTCCTGAGGTGTATTTTTGAGTAATGTATTGTGCTTCTTCAAACTTTAAATCCTTTAGTTTTTAGTTGAAAACAAGTGCATGGCGTTCCCAGTTTTTCATACTGAAAAAAAGCATGTCGCGACACGTGCTAAAATATTCTAGATATGAAGTTTTATCGCTCTTTGATCCCGATATTTAAAAAGGTATACATGGGAAATACCTGGTTCCTTCTTACTTAAATAAACATATCCCTCTATCTTGTAGAGATGTACTTTAGGCACCAAAATTTTCAGTAGCTTACTGATATTCTTAAAATTACAAAATTGGACATTAGACAGTCTAGGTGATACGGACCTTTTCCTGTTACACATTTCAATTTCATACATAGTTAATGTTCACAGTTTAACTTTTTGACTACTTTAACAAAAAAAAATTTACTCTATTTCAGAGACGTAAGTTCAATCATGGACCCACGTACCAGTGGCCAGGACGCAATGCGATGTGATCTATGTAAAATTGCTGTGGTACTTATGCACTGTGATACATGCCTCGCCAGTCTTTGTAAGGCCTGCGTCGGTGAGCACTCCTCTACCAATATCTTGATACCTCATACAATTGTTGGCTTCAAAGATAGGAAATCCTGTTCTCTCTTCCCTGGATGTATATCTCATGATAAAGAACACTGTCAAACGTACTGCAGTTTGTGTGACATTCCTGTCTGCACCAAGTGCCTTGCATCTAATTAACAACTAGGTCATAAATTGTCAGAAATGTGGAAAGTTCTAGACGAAAGAAAAGAAAAGCTTATTAAAGAACAAGATGAACTGATTGAGACAATTTATCCAACTTACCAGGAAATTGCCAGTGACATACAAAAGAGGATGACTGAAATAGAAAAAGACTATGGGGATCTCTCTGCAGCAGTAACTGAACATGGAGAAGTTTGGCATACAAAAATTGACAAGCTTGTCAAAAAACTTAAATCTGAAATTAATGAATTGAAAAACACATAGTTAAAATCTTTACAAGAACAACTGGATGAAGTAAACAAGAAAAAACTTGAAATCAAAGACGAAATCAATTCAATTGACATTGCTGTCGATTCTAATGACATTTCCAAAATATTTAGAGACACATTCATTGTAGACAATTATAGACATCTACCACAGAAAATCGTGTTCTTCTTATCCACATTTACACCAGGAGAAATTCAAGAAAAAGAACTTACTAAGCTGTTTGGGGCTCTATCACCAATTTCTCCATCTAATGAAAAGAAACACTACAGCATGAAGACACAAAAACAGTCACTAGAAGCTGGATCCTCTCCTCCAGTCAAACAGCTGCTTGTTGAACCAGAGACTATCACCACCATAGACACTGGGTATAAATATTACCTTTATAGTGTGGCCTGTGTAAGTGAAAAAGAAATCTGGACAGCTGGAGAGGACATCATGAAACTCTTTAGCATCAAACAGGGATCACTTCTGAAGTCAATCAGGACCAAGTCAGGGTATATGATCATGCACATAGCCGTGACAGAAGCTGGAGATCTAGTCTATACTGATTATGATTATGGAACTGTGAACATTGTGAAGGATGATAATATAGAGGAAGTTATCGGACTTGAGAATTGGAAACCTTACGGTGTCTGCAGCAGCTCCTCAGGTGACCTCCTGGTTGTCATGGATAGTGAGGATTATACACAATCAAAAGTTATCCGTTACTCTGGCTCCACAGTAAAACAAACCATTCAGTTTGATGAAGAAGGAAATTCTCTCTTTTCATCTTGTGATCGTGAGATAAAACACATTTGCGAGAACAAGAACCTGGATATCTGTGTGTCTGATAGTGATGCTGGGGTAGTAGTGGTGGTCAATCAGGTAGGAATACTGAGATTTAAGTACATTGAAAATACTTCTGTTGCGATGAAAAAACCCTTCAAACCTCAAGGAATCACCACAGACAGTCAGAGTCACATCCTTACAACTGATTTCATCAATGACTGTGTCCACATCATAGACCAGGGTGGAAAGTTCCTTCGTTTTATAGAATGTGGACTAAGTAGACCACGAGGACTGTGTACTGATTCAAATGACAATCTGTTTGTTGCACAAGATGGAAACAGACAAGTGAAAAAAATCAAATATCAACAGTGAATTCCATCGGTGCGCTATATGCATTGCAATGTTGTTACATTAAACATTAAGTGGATTTTTTGTACATTATAAAGCAAAACGATATAAATGTTAACTGCGTTAAATGCCCCCCCCCCCCCCCCCCCCCCGGTTAAAGAAACCGAACAAACTTGAGTTGAAATAGAGCTATATATTGCATTTAATTTTTTTTTAAATGGAAAAGAATTTCTGCTATTTAATAAATCCCAACTAAAGAGGTAAAAATAATGTTTTAGAAACTCAGCTGAATTTTAATTGTATAATCAATTAATCAAATAAATGTGAAAATGCATTTATAATTAATGCCATTTTATTATGCCCCCGTATCGAAGATTCGGGGGTATATAGTTTTTGCCCTGTCCGTCCGTCTGTCTGTTTGTCTGTTTCTCCGCAAAAACTTTAACATTGCCCATAACTTTTGATTGGTTGGAGCTATAGCTTTCATATTTTACATGTGTATTTTTTGTGACAAGACCTTTCTTAGGGTACCATCATATTTGACCTTTTGACCTTGACCTTGGACAAAAAATGCATTATATACTTAGTTTATTTAAAGGTCCATTGAACATCTTGTTCCAAAGTACATTAATTTGATCCCAGTTGTTACCACACCATAGGCTTGGGTGCTTTGATTTGAGAAAACTCGACACTAAACTTCCAGTCGTGGCTTGCATATCAACTTGACTGATAGCGGGACAAAATTTGAACAAAAAAGGTCCTTTACTTTGCAAATTTTTTAAGGTAATCCAGTGCGAATTATCTCTCTTATCATAGTGTCAATGAACGTTATATAATGCTTCATCAAAGTCCTGGATAACTATTTTACAGATAGAAATTTTGACGTACAGTTAGCCGAAATCATTTTCAAGATTACGATCTTTGGCTTCCTGTTAAAAGTTTGGAATCTCTGTTGTCGAGTAAAAGTGTAGCGAAGGAAAAAATAACTGGACAGCAAAAAAAGAACAAGATGTGTTTGGGAAACACTGATGTCCCCTTATGGCAGCTTCTGACGAAGGTTAAAGTTTCTCAAGTACATGTCAAATTCCAAGGTCAAGAGATCAAAAATTTTGTTACCCCAAAAAAGGACTTTTGTCAATCTTCAATTATTACAGGGGCATAAAAAAAAGAAAATTAACAACCTTTCTACACTTAGACAGGGCACTATCGTTTTAAATATTGCAGTATATTAGTCTCGTTCAACCAGACGCTCTGTTGTCTACTTGAACTCTAATGAGCAGAGAGTCGATAGAACTCGTGATAGCGTTTTTAATGCCCCAAAACTAGGCTTAACAGAATTTCTGGTAAAGTTTTTGATTGTCTGAAAAGAACATCTCCACAGTTATAACAAATACATAGTAAATCTGTAGAAAATCAACTTAATTATTTATAAGTCTACAAGCTATAGCAGAATTATTTGTAGTATTGTCCACAAGTTATGTGTGTGTTGTACATTGTTTTTCAAAACTTATTGTCCAAAGCAAAAATGAAAGTAGTATCACCTATATCGTCGATTGTTATTTCTCTTTCAGTAACTCCAGTAAATGGTTAGTTTATTAAAATAAAAACACGATCCATCGACAAAAGCTTTGTTTTCAAAGGGGTAGTCAAACTGAACACAAGGTAACGCCCTCTGACGGTTACAAACGATATCGATTCTTTGCTAGTCGGTGTTCACGGTGAAAGACGAACGGTATGTTGGTCATATGATCTTGATACAATCAATGGAATCCAAAGAATAACTGCCATTACTTCCAAAGATCAGGTAATATATTCAAATTATAGTTATATATTATGATGACTTTTACCATCTGTTATCTAAAGAATTTAATATATACAAGCATAAAATACCTAATTTAAATGTTTTACAAACGTCTTTTGAATACCATTAAAATAAAGCTGAGTTCTGAAACAAAAGAAATAAAAATCATCTAGTATGTATACAGAAATCATATCAATTGAGTACCGTATCTCAAATTTGGGGCTGATTTCAATTGCACGCAATACACAGGTAACAGTATAGAGGTTGCGAGCAGCTGGTGGTGATACAAAGCCTATAACAGACAACCAAAACTGCAAACAATTACAACATTGTTTTGGTGTTTCAATACACTGTTAAAAAATATTCTAAAATGCATATTTTCTGGTAACTTTTTAAAAAACTTTATTGAACTACATGAATAAACTACAGGTATAACATTTTTGAATTGAAATGTTCCTCACAGTGTAATACAATATTTTTTAACAATCAGATTACCAATGTCTAAAGTACAAAAAGAAACACATTGAACCTTTTGAACATTGTTCCTTATGTAGAAGAAGTAACGATGTAATAAACTTGTAAAAAATAAAAGATCTGCATTAAATGGTGTTAAATAAAACCTAGTGAACGATTGGCTTAGTTTTAACATATTTCATTGAAATAAATAATTATATAAAATGGGATTGGGCACGAGCTCTGAAAACTTAATTCCCCCTCTCCCTAAAAGATTATAACATTGTAAATGCATTTTGGTAAAGCTTTTATGTACGTCAAGTAAAAGCCTGTCAAAGCAAGTAAAAAGGCCCCCGAATCCTCTAGTGGGAGGGGGACTGCCCATCCTATACTTTTTCCCTTCGGCCCTTCTGGCCTTAAATTCTCCCAAGAGAACTTCTGGATCCACCACTGAAGGAAATAGTTTTTTAGCTCAAGTTTTCTTAGACACTGTACACCGCCTTGTAAATAAATAAAATTAGATTTCGTTTTACATAATGGTTGTCTTTCATCCATAATTCAGTGCAAACTGCACCCTAGTCTTGTGCATTGAAACGAGAAGTGATTTCCTATTGTCCTGTTTATTTCACACCTAGAATTCACGATTTTAAATGCAATAAACAAAGGCTTTATCTGCATGCATTGTATAAAAAGGCTAGGATACAGTAAACACAAATTTCCTGAGGTGTATTTTTGAGTAATGTATTGTGCTTCTTCAAACTTTAAATCCTTTAGTTTTTAGTCGAAAACAAGTGCATGGCGTTCCCAGTTTTTCATGCTGAGAAAAGCATGTCGCGACACGTGCTAAAATATTCTAGATATGAAGTTTTACTGTCTTTTTGATCCTGGTATTTAAAAAGGTATACATGGGAAATGCCTGGTTCCTTCTGACTTAAATAAACATATCCCTCAATCTTATAGAGATGTATTTTAGGCACCAAAATTTTCAGTAGCTTACTGATATTCTTAAAGTGACAAAATTGGACATTAGACAGTCTAGGTGATAGGGACTTTTTCCTATTACACATTTCAATTTTATACATAGTTAATGTTCACAGTTTAACTTTTTGACTACTTTAACAAAAATCAAATTTACTCTATTTCAGAGACGTAAGTTCAATCATGGATCCACGTACCAGTGGCCAGGACGCGATGCGATGTGATCTATGCAAAACTGCTGTGGTACTTATGCACTGTGATACATGTCTCGCCAGTCTTTGTAAAGCCTGCGTCGGTGAGCACTCCTCTACCAATATCTTGATACCTCATAAAATTGTTGGCTTCAAAGATAGGAAATCCTGTTCTCTCTACCCTGGATGCATATCTCATGATAAAGAACACTGTCAAACGTACTGCAGTTTGTGTGACATTCCTGTCTGCACCAAGTGTCTTGCATCTAATAAACATCTAGGTCATAAATTGTCAGAAATGTGGAAAGTTCTAGACGAAAGAAAAGAAAAGCTTATTAAAGAACAAGATGAACTGATTGAGACAATTTATCCAACTTACAAGGAAATTGCCAGTGACATACAAAAGAGGATGACTGAAATAGAAAAAGACTATGGGGATCTCTCTGCAGCAGTAACTGAACATGGAGAGGTTTGGCATACAAAAATTGACAAGCTTGTCAAAAAACGTAAATCTGAAATTAATGAATTGAAAAACACACAGTTAAAATCTTTACAAAAACAACTGGATGAAGTAAACAAGAAAAAACTTGAAATCAAAAACGGAATCAAATTGATTGACAAGGCTGTCGATTCTAATGACATTTCCAAAATATTTAGAGACACATTCATTGTAGACAATTATAGACATCTACCACAGAAAATCGTGTTCTTCTTACCCACGTTTACACCAGGAGAAATTCAAGAAAAAGAACTTACTAAGCTGTTTGGGGCTCTATCACCAATTTCTCCATCTTACGAAAAGAAACACTACAGCATGCAGACACAAAAAAGGTCACTAGAAGCTGGATCCTCTCCTCCAGTCAAACAGCTGCTTGATGAACCAGAGACTGTCAACACTATAGACACTGGGTATAAATATTACCTTTATAATGTTGCCTGTCTGAGTGAAAAAGAAATCTGGACAGCTGGAGAAGACATCATGAAACTCTTCAGCATCAAACAGGGATCACTTCTTAAGTCGATTAGGACCAAGTCAGGGTATATGATCATGCACATAGCCGTGACAGAAGCTGGAGATCTAGTCTATACTGATTATGATTACGGAACTGTGAACATTGTGAAGAATGAAAATATAGAGGAAGTCATCAGACTTGAGAAGTGGAAACCTTACGGTGTCTGCAGCAGCTCATCTGGTGATCTCCTGGTTGTCATGGACAGTGAGGATTATACACAATCAAAAGTTATCCGTTACTCTGGCTCCACAGTAAAACAAACCATTCAGTTTGATGAAGAAGGAAATTCTCTCTTTTCATCTAATGATCGTGAAATTAAACACATTTGTGAGAACAAGAACCTGGATATTTGTGTGTCTGACAGTGATGCTGGGGTAGTAGTGGTGGTCAATCAGGTAGGGCAACTGAGATTTAAGTACATTGGAAATACTTCTGTTGCGAAGAAAAATCCCTTCAAACCTCAAGGAATCACCACAGACAGTCAGAGTCACATCCTTACAGCTGACTTCATTAATGACTGTATCCACATCATAGACCAGGGTGGAAAGTTCCTTCGTTTTATAAAATGTGGACTAAGTAGACAACGGGGACTGTGTACTGATAAAAATGACAATCTGTTTGTTGCACAAGATAGAAACAGACAAGTGAAGAAAATCAAATATCAACAGTGAATTCCATCGGCGCGCTATATGCATTGCAATGTTGTTACATTAAACATTAAGTGGACTTTTGTACATTATAAAGCAAAACTATATAAATGTTTACTGCGTAAAATGCCCCCTGGTTAAAGAAACTGAACAAACTTTAGTTGAAATAGAGCTATAAATTGCATTTGATTTTTTTTAAATGGAAAAGAATTTCTGCTATTTAATAAATCCCAACTAAAGAGGTAAAAATATTGTTTCAGAAACTCAGCTGAATTTTAATTGTGTAATCAAATAAATGTGAAAATGCATTTATAATTAATGCCAGTTTATTTTTTAAAGTATTTTAATAACAGGGAAGTATTCCTCAAAAAAGACAAGAGACAGATAAGAAAATAAACAGTTAACAATAAGCACTACGGTAAATATGTGTAATAAAGAATTGCATGCTATTCTTGATCGAGTTTTTGGAAATACTGTCCTTGAAATTCCTATTCTGCTTATAAAGTACATGTATTTACTGTTATCAGGTACCGGTAAATCTTATACGGTATCAATTTTGATGCACCAGATGCGCATTTCGACAAATTATGTCTCTTCTGTGATGCTCATGCCAAAACGATGGAAATCCGAAATATTTAAATAAATATCTTAGAAGAGCTGGAAAAAAGGGGTGACCAAATCCTAGAACCAAAGAAGTCGAAGGATCACAGCTATGCATGAGGGAGAAAATCCTTAATTTTGAAATGTATTTCTAAATTTTACCACAGGAGTTAAATATATATCCGTACGCGAAGTACTTAGCTACTGGGCTGTAGAGACCCTCGGGGACTAACAGTCCAACAGCAGAGGCCTCGACCCTGAGGTCATAATGTAAATCTTATATGGTACATTGTACCAATTTTGATGCATCAGATGCGCATTTCGACAAATTATGTGTTTTCAGTGATGCTCGTGCCGAAACTTTGGAAATCCAAAATATTTAATTCAAAAATCTTTAAAGAGCTGAAAAAGGGGTAGCCAAAGACTGGATCCAAATACGTGAAAAGAATCAGAGTTATGCATGAGGGAGATAATCCTTAATTTTGAAATAAATTATAAATTTTACCACACCATTAAATATATATCCGTATTTTCCAGCTAGTGCCAAAGTACCTAGCTACTGGGCTGTATAGACCCTCGGGGACAAACAGTCAGCTAAGAAATACATATATTTACTTATTTTTTCAATACTTTCTACAGGCAATCATTGACTCTGAAATTTAAACTATTGATAATGAAATATCAACAAATGCACAAAAAATTCTATGTTCATCTTACCCATTTATACCAAGTGAGTTGAGATCAATAACATGTACATAATTTTATTCATGTTCTTTAATTGATTTACTTTCCAATTAAAATGGTTATTGATAAGAAGATGCTTTTCACCGAGAAGCTCTTTACTTTGTTTGAAAATGACATTTCCTACAAACTTTGATTGCAAAAAAAAATCTTAATGAGAAATGCTACACCAAAGAAGATGGGCGAACAAGGAGAGGAAAATGCCTAGAGTGCGACAAACATGAAGGTCAAAAATCCAATTAAAATTATGACGAAAATTTCTTTGATATTTCATCTAACACTAAAGTATACTTTATGTAAAATCTCCACAATTTGCAAAAATCTCACAAAGATTAAAATAATTTGTCTATGAAATATCATACACACACTAAAGAGGGCAAAAAGGATCATTTTCTCATACTATAACACAATTTTTGCGATATGATTGGGTCTTTGCTCCATTTTCTGAAAGTTTATCTTAAAACTTTGCGTAAAAATATACATTTTTGGTTAATATAAACATAAATCAATGACCTACTATACATTAAAAAAATACTTTTATGACACAACATTCGCATCTTTCCGAGAAAAAAACTTGAAGTCCATTAAGTCAATTGAGTCATATCACAAACATAATTTAAATGTCACTTTTCATCAGGAGTTGTATAGCATAGTGGTTAGTGTGTTAATTTTCAAAGGAAAATGATGCTCAGGATTTTTATTGCTAGCTGTTCGAACCTCACGACGAGAACATATTTTTTCTTTGGAGAATAATTTTTGTGAGAAAAATTTCTTTCTTTGGTTGTTGGTGTTGGAATTAACGTTGCAGCCATTGCAGAAAAAATAACATAACTCACTTACACGGGTTATGCATTTTTCTGCAACATTAATTCCCCAAGTAACAACCAAAGGAAAAACACCTTATTAAGGTCTTACGTCTTCACGGAAGACCTTATAGTGATTCTACTGTTTCTTATTATTCTTTTTTTTTTGACCAAAATTTTGTGCACGCGATTTCTCAAAAACTATACAGTAGTTTTCAATGAAACTTTCACAAAAAAATGAGTTATTGTATGAACTTTGTTCATCACAGTAAAATTTGGAAAATTCGCTTCCGGTTCCAAATTATGGGCAAATTCCTGATTTTTAAATGGAATGTTGTCCGCGGCAAACCTAAAGAACGAATAGAAGTATGGACTGGAGACTTATTAGAGATTATAGAACATGTCTTCCAGATTACCAGAATCGCCTTTTCGTGCGTCGTCACTACTTCCGGTCGCTACTGGAAGCGAATTTACAAAGTCGAATTTTTCAATTTTTTTGTTTTTCAATATATTTCGATGATATTAGTAGAGTTAATAGAGACTCTTTTCAGAATGCATAATATATAATTTGTTTGAAAATTGAAAATAAATATTATAATTATTATTAATATTTTTTAGACAAATATTATGCACACCATATCTCGAGAACTATTCAGCGGTTTTTCGTCAAACTTTCAGGGATAATGCGTTTTAAAAAGCCATTGTTACACTTGGAAGAATTTTGGAAAATTCACTTCCGGTTTCATGTTACGGGCAATTTCCTGATTTTTAAAGGAATTTTTTTTTCCCGCGGCAGATCTAAAGAACGGCGAAAGATATGAACTAGAGACTTATTAGAGATGATAGATTTGTAGAATTGCCTTTTTGTGCGTTGTTAATAGTTCCGGTCGCTACCGGAAGCGAATTAAAAAAGTCGAATTTTTCAACTTTTTTGTCTCTTAATATTTTTAAATGATTTTTCTAGGGATAATAGAGACTCTTATAAGAAATGGTCCCACTAGCGTAATGGTTAGCGTGTTTAATTTTCACGCGGGCGACCTGGACTCAGTCCCCAGAATGTCTGGATTTTTTGGTACCTTTTTTTTTTTTTTTTTTTTTTTACCTTTTTTCAGCTGAAATATAATACTGTATCTTTGAAATGATATCTGGTATTATGTTCCGTTCGAATTACGCGATATATTTTACAATTTACGTTTTATAGTATTTCATGTATGAAGGAGTTCAAAGGAATGCACAACGTAATACAGATAGTGTTATGAGTGAGGAATCAACTTCTCTCATGACGGAGAAGAGACGGAAGAACATGTTTCTAGTTATTTTTATTATTCATCCACGTCACATGTTTCAATATTTTTAGAAAAAAAAAGTTTTTCTTGCTTTTATAAAGTAAGAAAATATGCTAAGACTGATGTGCCGATTGAAAAAAAAATGTTTTAGTTTAATGTCATCATAATAAGAATAAATTGTATGAAAAGAGGTACAAAATTGATCTTTCATCAAGTGGCCAAATAATGATTTTTGTAGAAAGTGCTGGTTTGAAAAAAAAAAAACTGGATTGATGACCAGTTACCTACAGTTGTACCCTTTGTAGAAAATAGCTCTTACTTATCTTTACGTCTTAATTGGCATCTGAAAATATTACTATCCCTTTGTTTTTGAAATATCCTTTTTACTTCTTTATTTATTCTTCATTCTTCAATAACAGATGTACGATGCATATATGAACAACAAGCTTGTTTCTCTTTTTAAAAAAATAACTTTACTTTAATAGCCGTTTATCAAGAACATGTTTCCAATGGGATGAGTGTTTTAACCATAATTTGTAAATATCCTTACTGTTACCATTGCAACCAAGAACGTTTTTTTTAGAATAATATTGCTGATACCTTATTACTTAAAATCAAATATTTTTGTAATTTTACTAACTACAAATTCCATCCCTAGAAACGATATCAATACATTTTATAGTCATTTAATCAGCTGATAAGAGTAAAAAAAAAATGTTTGCAACTCTTATTAGCAAATCAAACATTATGGGCAAAAGATTTAAATTGGTATGTTGTGGAGTAAGAAAGTTTGAAATCTGATGTCACACTTACAAGTTGGCGTAAATACAGATCATCAGAAAATCTTAAGAGAAACTGTCACCATAAATATTGAAATTACAGACTATTTCATTCAATTTTTTTTTCTTATTTTTAATTGTGAAAATACATGTTATATTAAATACTTTTAAATACTGCATACAAAATTCAACTACAAATGTACATGTATTTTAATTTACTTTTAATGCAAAATTTTGTATTTTTGCATTAAAATCGGTCTTAATTACTTACGAGGGTTATAGGTCTCGAAAAGTTTTGACAAATTTTAACCTTAAAAAACTCAAGATTTTTGGGGAAAAAGGAACAAAATGATAACTTTGCTCTTACAATGAAAACTAAATGCAAGATTATTTTGTTTAAAGGGGTTATTGAAAAAAATATCTTTAAGACCTCGATAAATTTTGTCAATTTTTCGTTTAATGTGTGCGTATGGTTAAATGGATATGACCAGGCGTAATTGTAAATACTTTAAAACAAAATAGAACTTGGAACTTAATCTAGTTTTTAACCCTAGCCAAAGTAATTACAAAATGTTATTTCGATGACCTGAAAAAATCCAGTTTAACACAAAGGAAAGAGCAGACACATGAACAGATAAAAAGTTAACATAAAAATTCTGTAAGGAAGAGAATTCAAAGCTAATTTTATTAGACACATAATAATATTAACCTGATAAACTTTCAGTAAGTTTCACTATTTGTAAGGCTTTCGAAGATTTTGGATGATGAATTTTAATGAAGTGGTCCTAAGCAAACCTGCTCCCTGCTAGCTTTGGAATGGAAAGAAAACTTATTTTGTTTTATCTAATATCATACTTTTTTAAAGCTTAAGACTGATTACAATTCGTAATCTTCTCCTTTCACATTCGTATATGTCTCCAATAAAACACAACTTTTAAGCCGCATTGATTAAATACAAATTTATTTTCCATTATGGACGAAATAATGAATTATCTTACATATTATTAATTTTTACAATTAAAAAGACCTTTTTAAAAATTACATTTATTTAACCAATAAATACGGTAGGGATTTTCACTTTAATATTTAAAAAAAAACTGTCACATGACAGGAGGAAAGAAAGGCCGAGAGACAACAACACTTCGCCTGTTTTTATCCACTGAATGAAGAAATAACATGTATCTACTGAATGAAGGCAGCGATGGGAATGATTCTGCAGTGATTTTTAACAACCTTAAAAGTGTAATTAGACGAAATAGTCCAACCAGCAGTGGAATACTTTTTGATCACCGACATCTGGGTTGAGCCATATTTATCCCCTACTTCTTCTCCGTTGCACCTTTCATAAGGAATCTTTGCACTGAGAGGGAAAATACCAATCAAGTCCCCGGATTTAACCTCAATTTGGTCCTCGACTGGAACTTCATACGTACGAATTCTGCCGACATACGTTTCCAATATTTCGTTCTGTCCAATGAGTGTATGCCTTAAAAATATAATAAGCAAAAAAAAAAAAAAAAAAAAATGAAACTTGAAAGCAAGGGAAAAGATCATAGATTTTTTTTTTATATTAAAATGGAAAAATTGCTTGTATATTCAAATGCTATTTCAAAATTTACCATTATTAATAGAGTTCTCTAAATCTCAATCTCTAATTCTATATCTCTAAATCTCAAAATCTAAATTTCAATAGAAAGTCTATATAGCTAGAATAATAAAGTGTCATAGTATATCAAAGTTCCTATATATCCAACCTAAAGATTCACAGTATCAAAGTAATTCAATGTATCAAAATAGCCGAGTTTATTATGTAATGAACTATAGTTGACTAAAATATATAATTTACTAGGGGTCCCCTCATCCCCTCGACCCCCACCACATTTAAATTCCAGGATCTGCATTTAGTTTGAAATAAAAATATAACATACCATATACATTGTATATAAATAAGGAAACATGATTCATTATCCCTTACCGCAATTTTCATTGATATCAGAATTTAGCGATTGAATGGTCTTTTAATATCAGCATAAATTTTAAGCAAGAAGTAATTTAACTGACTATTGAGATAAGTTTTATCTCAGATGTGTGGAGTGAATTGTTAGGATATTCAGATTAAGCGATCTCAATACTCTCTCTAATGTCAAAATTGAATTTTTTGCTTATAACTCTGCAGATACGGTGTAGTAACTTCTAAAAAGAATGTACAAACGTGTTATTGGTTTCAGTTGGTCTCAATACTTGCAGAGCTGCGATGCCGTTAATCTCGCTGAAAAACTGCCATTTGACAATCTTTCCACTTTTTCTGATACTCATATTTTCATTCAGGCCAGTGTAAGAATATCTAGTGTAAAGTTGCTGGCGGAATTGTAGCAATGGGGCGTCGTTGCTAGGCTCAGGGACTGTGTTAGAAGCTGTAATTGTAAAATTAACTTTCGTATAAAAAATTTTCTGACAGGCCTTTGAAGAAGTCAAACTAACAAGTCTGGATGTGTGACTTTTATAAAATGATGCCAAACACTTTACATAAAAGCAGTGAACCGGTAAATGAGGCCAGTTTACCTTTACATAACGGCTGTGAACCGGTAAATGTCCCACTTCTTTGACATGCTCTATAGAGATTTCCGCCGGCATGAGAAAATTCAAATTTACATCTGTATTCTAACACGTCTCCTATGCCAAGAGAACCAACAGTTGTGACGACTTCAGTGTTGCTTTCTGTCGGTAAACTCGGTACAATGCAGTTACCTTTGTTTCAGAAGAAATAAAAATACAAAGAGTGTATCTGTATTTAACGTTGATGAGCCCGGAGATCGACAAGTTCATAAAGAAAACTTGATCACTGTTAAAGTATCTGGTGTTAAATTTCCTTACCTTGTATATAATCACAGTATCCACAAGTGCTGGGACAGGTGTGCCAAACGAAATCATCATTTTCACATGCTCTTGGATCCATTGTGAGGTATTTGTTGCAATTTGGTGAAGCATCTTTACACAAAGTCCGCCCTTCTCAAATTTAAAATCAAAATTCTTATTCCCTATGAAAAGTTACTTTCTTCAACTAAAATTTCTTTATGAACTCAGGAATAATATTTTCTTTATGCATTCAAATCTTTCTTCTGTCTCAAATTTATAAAATGTAAATGTGTTCCATTCCATTTTGTTGAACATGTTATGAGTTGTTGACACTTATAATTGATTAATATAAGATTTGATCGGAATAACAACCATTCAAATATATTTTAAAACATTACCTTGTGGTGAATAGGAGCAAACAAAAGATATATAGAATGCTGACCCACAGGATATCCCTCGCCATTTTCCATCTCTATCTGATATGTAGGCACAACTTCTCCCAGAACCTACGCCACAATCAATTTTATAATAGTCAGCTTATATAAATTTTAATGTTACAGAAGAAACAAAGAACTAAAATTAAAGTGTATCTGGAAACATTTACCACTTCTATAGTTCGTCCATTGCACTTTTCCTCCATCTGACCAAGCTCCATTTTCAAGACCAATCCAAAAACTGACACCATTTTGTCTGTAATTATAACACAATTGTTGAATTTTAACGTGGTTAGTAGATCCATTAATCTTTCAACATAAAATAATTTCTTTAAGCAAAAGAACTTACACTAAACTCATCAGAAAAGTATTCTCTTTGATATTTTTACTGGACACCAGTGTTGCATTATTTTCATCCGCGCAACGCTTAACTGCAGTGCTACGGTCTACTTCTTCTTCAAAAGCCTTAAAGCATTGTCTCTGGAATGGTGTCCATCCTGTTTTACAACCTGTATTTATTTTGCATAGTTTACGTTAATTATCAATTATCTAGTGAAGCTGCAAGTATTTAAACTTTTTCCTATCTATTTATATTTATTTATAACATATTAATTCAAAATACTAATTCAAGGGCACCGCAAAGCGGAGCATCCCCTCGCAAAGAGCATAACTTTCAATCAAAACAGCATTCGATATCGATCCCGATGCAAATTATGTCGCTTCCGTTTTGCATAGCATTAACTCACTCACCCAAAAACGAACACACACGATTGCGTTGCTATATCCCCCCAACTCCGTTGCGAGGGGATAATATGATAATAAGCACAATGTTTTACCTCGGTTTGAAATTAAAATAAAATAATGGCGTGGTCTTACTTACGTCCACAAACAAATCCAGCATTTGACCAAGATCCATCAGCTAGACAAACAATTGTTTGTTTTTCAAAGTCATTCGTTCTGCATGTTAGTACTACCATTTCATCAACAAAATATGTTTCTTTCAATACCTCGCTAACTGAGTCGGATGGGATGGTTGGCTTTGAACACCTCACTGATCCAACTTAAAGTATTACCATTTAAAATTTGTCAAAAGTCAAATTTTTGACCAGTTGTATTATTCCCATAATAAGTTTCTTTACATAATAATTCATAAATTCAAAATAATAATAATGTTTAAAAAATATTTTGCACTGATATTGATATATGTTAAACACTTTTCATTCTAATTAAGTAATGTAATTTTCAATATCAAAAATATAGTTTTCAATTTGCATTTTCTGTAGACACCTAAAAACGAATTCATTTTAAGAAACCGTTGTTCTTATAAGATAATTTACCTCCATTTTGTGCTTGTCGATTACACATATTGCACGTCATTCTGCAGCCTCGTTTGAGTTCTGGGTCATGTTCACAGTTAGATATATCCACTGTTCTCTCTGCACAATCGTCGAATATATCATAGCATTTTTCTAATTTTAATAAAATAAAAATATGGTAAATAACCATCTGTGATGTAATTTATTTGTCTACATTTTTGGTACTGGTAAACAATACAATTTTATTTAATGATTATAAAACAATTCAAATATTGAAATACTGTACCGATTCCACACACATCACAGTAATCTCGAGTACACATAAACTTGTTAGTAATACACCAAGGTCTGGTGCCGTGACCAGGATTACGACAATAGTTACCAAGCAGATCGTCATCTAGATCCCTGGAGATTATCATAAAATATGAACAGCATTTACACTGTATTCATTAACTTGGTTTGAGAACGTCTGATCATGAATACAAAGGAAAATATTCTAAGCACTTCTTAAATACGAATGTATCTACCCGAGTGCATGAAGAAAAGAATACAGAAAGTTTAACTTACATCGGATTATAAGTATTACTAAGACAGTGTTTGACTTCCGACCAGGGTAAACATTTATCGAAACGTTGAGTGATATCAACCGTTCCCCTGTAATTTTCTCCATTGTTGGTGTAACAGAAATTGGGATCATTTGCTAATAACGAGAATTCTAAATTAAGTCAATGCCACAATGAAAAGAAATATTCAAATTTGTTGACCCTGAGTTTCTGAATAAAGTACATGAACTTTATGCATACGTTCCAGCAGTGAAATTGTCGCTGAGAACCCCCGTCCAGTTTGCTTTAATCCAGACTGAAAGGTCAAGCCTAGCTGATTTTCCTCAGAGATAACCGTCATAGAGAATCTATCTCCGCAGTAGCTGTTAAATATCATTTCTTGGTTGTAATTTTACAATTTACATGTAGCTGTTCAAACTATTGGCTTTTGACTAACTTTGGTCACATTGTTTGTCCAGATCTCCAAATAATCACCACATGAAATATATCAATGTGTTTTTTCTAAAGCAAAGATCAATCTTTTTAGTTGAGAATACTTTGAACATGTACATGCATTATCTATAAATTGGTTCAATTTTTTCAGTAAAGATAAAAGAAAAAAAAACTATTTGTCTGTGGTTCAGGTTAAAAAATGTATCTTTTAGAAATTTCTATGTTAAATTATTGTAAAAACACCTTCCACAGGTACATGCACAATCTTACCTCAGTCCAAACTGACCCGGGAGTGAATGTCTGACTTCTAGTCTATCGACGCAAGTTCCATCTGTTTTAGCTGCTATGTCGAAATCATTAAAATCAAGCTTTAACTTGAAATCATCTGGTGCCTGTAAATTGAAAAGAAGAAAGAATACAATAAGGAATTTGAAAATTCATTGATTTCATTTTCATTTATAAATTAATTTAGTTATCACATTCAACGTAAAATAATTTGGATGTTGAAGTAGAGAGAGACATTGGAGGTTAATTAACATGTACACTTTTTGCAAAATATGATGACTTCAATTTGAGAATAGTCAACTTCTCTTATTTTTTGTGTAGCAACATTCCAGTACTAACTTTATAGGGTGTTTACGTTTCCCAGTTGACTCAATACACAAAGAGTATATTATAAAAAATCAATTTCTAAACTGTGGAATGCTACTAATAAATAAGTCAATGTTACTAGCATATCAATAATTACTGAAAAATGGGTTGTTACAAACGCATCAGTAATTAATTTTAGTCAATTTTCTCACATTCTTTGGTCTATACAATGACCGTGTTTGCAAATGCAACCTTTTGTTACGTCAAATGTTTGCTTAAGTTTTAATACAAATTGTTAAGCAAATTTTTTCATATTGTTTTTTCTTCAGATTACTCAGTTTACCAAATAATTAATAAAGGTTGTGCTGGATGTGACCTTCAAATACCTACTCCTTTATGCATATTGCGCCTGGTCCCACTCATGATGTTTTTAGAGGTTTGTGTTTGTTCAGAACTCAAATTGCATTTCTTTATTGTACTTTTGGGCATGGTTTTTGTTCGTTGTCTTCACATTTTCACTTACAATGTAACATGTTTGTTGATCAATGTTGTAATATGTATTAAGGACGTATGCAACGTAGGTTTGAATTCGATGTTCTTATTCCCCGTGCAATTTAAGAGAGATACCTGGTAACCTACCCTCCTTTTTTAAATCAAATTGTGAGGAGATACGAGCTTAAAATATTTATATGTAATTTAAAAAAAAAAAATACAAAGACTTATATCATTTGGTATCTGTTCAAAACTCCTGGTAATGTATGATGATTTTTTTTTGTATAAGAACATCGAATATGATGATTTAAAATATCAGTTGGAAGGGTACACTTTAAATTACATGAACATGTAAGATGTGTATGGCCTTAAGCGTAGCATTTCTGTAATAATAATAATAATAATAATAATAATACAGTAAATCTTGCCCAATCCGGACACCACCGGTTCCAGAGAAATTGAAGGGATTAGACAACATTTTAAACAATTGAATTATCTGAAAGTACCTTAAGGTACATATATACATTGTATTAAGCAAGATTTCGGATACAAAATATCCGAAGTTGACAAGTTTCACTGTAATAATAACATATGACTACTGATACTGACGATGATATTCCAGAAACAGTTTCTTCCTTTGGGGTAGGCATTCGGGTGTTCTGGACTCGTTATATTTGTAGTTGTCTGTCCATCTTTGCTCAAGTGTATCTTCTTTCCGCAGTCTATAAGAAAGTTTCATTTTCATTAATCAATTTTCACAGGACTAAATATAGTTTCTCCCATTAACCATAGCCGGATGTTTTGAAATAAAGTTATTAAAAAACTTATAAGCAGGCATTTTTTGGTCATAAAACAACTATCTTAGCACAAAGAAAATTAAGATACCAGTATTTTTCTCTTAGTAAGATATCCCTTAGTATGTCAGGACTTCAAGTTTGAAGCCCTGACATATTGGAATCATTTTTTTTAATTTGAAGGATATACTCTCTTTTTTCATGCATTAATTCTTCACTCCAAAAGACAATATTATTCCATGAAAAATGCACAGAAAATTTATCAATACATGATTATTAAAACATTACTAGCTTCATAGAATTCATACGTTTCATATGATAACGATTATTTTACATGATTCATTTTCAAAGTAAAAAAATCTGAGCTTTCAATAAACGATAATTTCGTTGTATTTTTATCGATTATCTATCGTACACAGATAGCAAAAGTGAAAATCTGTTTAACATTTTTCTACGCTATATGAAAATATTTACATTTGCAAATGCTTCCCTTATAAGATACCATTTGAACAAGACGTATTAAAAGCTGTATATAAATACATATACGTTCATCAAAGAATTTTATCATCGTTTAGTCATAAACGATCATTCAATACATTCAATTTACTATTGATGTTTGAAAAACTTAATCATTTCACATGTCTAAAACTATAGTACGCAGGTATCTGTTATAGATCAGTCATAAATACCAATGTTAGAAATAAGGTATCATTCGTAAGCATTTATCAGGATCTAAAAAAATAAGAGTTGGTATGTGAACAAATCTAACATAATTCGGGCTTATGGGATTTGATCATGACCAATCTTTATTTCTTTCCCAATAAAAGTTCAAAAACACGAAACCTTATTTCTTAAATAAAATAATTAAACCAACTTTGAGATTGAAACCCATACACATAATTATAATTTTCAGAGCTTATGACTCTTTTATTAAGTAAAATACTCTGACTCAAAACTAACCATATTTTGTTGGATAGTAGTAACAAATGAAGAAATACGTCTTCTTGTAATAATTTACGTGTATTTTTGGAGTGTGTCCAGATTTCGCTGGAGCTTTAAACTTTGTTCCTGCAGTGTATGTCTCCTCTTCAAAGCTCATATCTGCCAATAAGAAACAGAGTAGGTGAAAAAAGACCCAAGCTTTGACTACTATGCAGGGCAATTTTCATGTTGTTTCCGATCACGGTAGCCTAGTTGTAGGGTGATTGTTTCGTTCTCGGGAGGGGCGGTTCGATTTTTGCCGGTAGCCCAGCGACACACCTACATGTAAGACGTTAAGATAAGTGAATATTATTTCGAAGGACCCGGTCATAGATATGAAAGTCATGGGCCTTTTGAATGAGACCTTAAAACCCGTGGGCCAGTGTCACGGTAGGCTCTGGGGGATAATTGAATAATCCTCCCTACTCAGTAGTCCTGAGTAATAATGATAGGTCTAAATTTGAAGCCCTGTACTGGCATATGGTGACGACTCTAAGTGAGTAAAAGAATTCTCGAATGGGACATAAAACAACATACAATTAATCAGTCAATAATGTTATAGCATGTCTTAATGCATACTATATACTTTGCTTTTTAAAGTTTTAACAATGAAGAAATGTGAATGACATTGTAAAAAAGGTTATTAATGAAACAAGAAGCAATGGTAATCAAGAATAAAGGATATTTCCTAGATTTAACGAGACCCAACCTACTTGATCTGCACATACGTTTTTACGCAGGGTTGTTTCAGACGCGTCAAGTACCCTTGATTGCCGTCACAATTGAATACAATGACGTCACAGTTAAAATGACGTCAATTGCGTTAAAATATTTCACTATTTTTGCATACATGGTGGGTTTTGACTGTGCATGTTGAAGGCTCTCTAATTCTGGCAATTCTATCAATTTCTATCTTTTGTTTTAATAAATAAATGTTTTAATTAATAAGCAATTTTGTTACATAATTTATTTTTGAGATAAAAGTTTTATCTTTCTTTATTTAAATTTTTGAGCTTGAAAAACTACTGCAACCAAAAGTAAACACGTTTAGTTTTTCTCCTTGAAAATGTTAATTTACCAGTTTGGTTGATAACTTAAATATGTATGCAGTAGATTGACTACAATAAATTCTACAAGTCATATAAATGCAACCAAAAGAAATATTTAAGTTTCCTACATTCTAATAAATTTTGTAATTTTATTGCCTTTTTAACCCCCCCCCCTTCTTTTTTCAAGTAAAACAACGTTTTTTGTTAAATAAAATAATGGAGAGAAAAATTTTTTCATAATGTAAGAGGGTTATAAATTTGAGAAACATATACAAAACAACAATCATTTGTTGATATTATGTAAACCTACTGCGACTTATAAAGTATCTTAGATATAATTTTAGTCCTACTTTTGTGTTTTGATCTTTTCCCTACAATAAAGGCTACCCCCAATTTCTTTTCAGTTTTTAAATGAAGAATGGATATTGCATAATATGTGTGAAAAGTAAAAAACTTTCACCATTTACTTTTGTTTTGTTTTTTTAATTTGTCGATTCCATTGTTTATAAGGCAGTTTTAGCATATAGTTGTGTGTAAAATTTAAAAAAAAGGTCCATATTTTGAAATTGCCCCCACTCAACTAAATCAAGGCAAGGTAACAAAATTTCTATCTAATTTTTCTAAGCATGGTACATACAAATATATATATCTAAAATTCAAAAATCTTTGCCGGTCCATTTTCGTTATTTCCAAGTAGACTGGGCCTCGTTGGGCCTTACGAAAAAATAATTATATCAAAATGAGGTAAAGTTATCAAAATAAAAAGTATGTACCACAAACTGACATGATGAATCATAAAATTTTGTTTAACGCCAAATCGGTATTATTTGGTTGGTTTTTCAGCCATCTGATGTCTGAAAACGGAAACTTTCATGCAATATTGATTTAAAACAACTTGTAATATCTGTTACAATTACATTTCAACCTTCATAACATTACATTACCTTCAACCTTCTGACAAGAAGAAGATTCTTTAAACAGAATAAATGGTTCAGTGTTTGGTACTTGAAGCGGGTTTCTGGTAAATCCATCAGATCGACAACAAAAGTACAAGGTCACGTGATCATCAAAGGAACCATCAGGAAGGGAACCAGTAAATTTGTCTGGTGGTTGACCATCAACCAAAGCAATGGAGCCTTCAGAGAATTCTAGTTCAAAGGCAGAAAATTTGAGTTATACTGATTTACTCATAGACTATTCCAACCCCTCTTATCTAAACAACGAAATGTTTTTATATTGATATTTTTACTATTTTTTAAATGTATTTCTAGTATATTAGCTGACAGAATTCCTTCCTATATATAATGTTTTTCAAATGATTCTACGCTAAAGACCAGTATACCATCAGGACATTTCCCTCCGACTCGGAGAAAACAGTACGACCCTGGACCCCACTGGGCGTGGTCTCCGATTGGGGTAGTCTGGGTCTTTGTACAGAATTGGTAACGTAAAGTTTGTCCCTCAGACTGTAGTGCTGAGAAAGTATCAGACGGGACCGAGGTGTGGTAAGAATATTCTGAAAACTGACCAGATTCAAAGCCTTTAGGGCAACCAGTAGCGGATTGAATCATTGCAAATGGCTCTTTTGGCCATCTTGAGTAAGAATTAGTTTCATCTGAAAGGAAAAGACAGTATTAAGAAAGATCGATGCATGGATACACAAAATGAATAAGACAAAGTTTTTGCTCTCAAGTTTTTTTTTTATTAAGAATAGACGTTTGATAAAAGTATCTTGGAATAAGTTATTCACAAACCACGGAAAAATAATTATTATTTTATACATGTACATAGATTCATCTTTCGGCATAAAAAAGATACGGTATTGCAATAAACATTAAGTTTATCTTTACAGCACTAGAGAAGTTATCATTGACTTATGACATGGTTTAAGATCATAAAATAGATAAGAATAAAAAATTTGTAAAAGATCATCTTTCAATTTGCATGTTTGAAGATATCGAGACGAAATATTAACACGTACTTCCATACATGTGTAACTGTAATAATGATCAGTTATGAAGTCACAAATGTCTCTCGGTAGTACTTACGAAAATCTGTCGGAGAATAGTAGCAAAAAGAGAGTTTATAAGTGGTTGAATACGAGATGCTCAGATAAGGTATATTCCCAGATGTATGCAAAAGATCTTTTTCATTTTTGATTCTCAAATACTGCTTGCTTGCGCCCATTCCTAAAAATTACACAAAGGTTGAAATGTTTAAAATCAAGACCACAGTGGTGTTAAAAAACCATAAAAACAATAATTGGAAAGTGTTTGATATTATTTTCCCAATTTTCCTATTTTTTCTCAAGCTATCCTTTTTAATATTTAGGATTCAGAGGACCTGCTACTTGCTGGCAAGTAGAGGTTTCAGGAAACAAGATAAAAGGCTCCTTTGAGGGTAGGATCACCGGACTGGAAGTAGATCCGTCACTGCGGCAACAGAAATAGAACCTGGTATCATTGAGGAATTGGCCATCAGGAAGAATCCCGAAGATATCCGATGGATTCATGGTGTCGTCGTAATGTATATATCCCATACTGAATCCTGAAGAAACAAGTGTTCGAAAACTATAATAGGGAACACTTTTCCAGCAATAGCATAAAAACGTTTGTATGTAATTCCATCTTGATAAGCACTTCACCATAAGTAAGTTGTTAAAGAAAATAATTAATTTACATCGAATATTCTGTTGTAATCATTTTAAAAATCGCAAGATTTGGAATAGCGGTTATTCTTTTTTTTCATAATATGTAATTACCAATGGGACAAATCCCTCCATGGCGGTAGACACAATATTTTCCTGCAGGCCAACTTGGTGAAATTCCATTTTTCTCTGTTTTCTTCTTAGTACAAAACTTGTAAAAAGTAGAGGTCCGTTTTGAAATGATGGCTGCACTTAATATAGCACTTGTGTGTTCCATTTGGATTTTTTTATGGTGTTGTGTTAATCTGCCTTCATAAAATCCATGTGGACAGCCAGTTATCTTCGTACTTAAGATGGTGAAAGAGTCGGACGGCCATTTGGTTGAAATCATTCGATCTGAAGATATGAACATACATGAAGATATATAAAATACATTTGACATTTTTGAAATGACATTGATTTAGGGTCACGAGTTATAAACGTCTATGATCAGTATGGAGATTTTATTTAATGCAGTGAAATATAAAGATAACGAACAGGTATGAAGCTCAAAACGCCACTGAAACAATACAGATTGGGAGTAAATTAAACACGGACCTCTAAAAACGTCAAAGGTGAAATTAAACTTTAGAGTTTATCATTGAGGTCAGAATGTAAGCAAAGAGAGTAAAAACAGGCGAACATATTAATAGATTTTTCTTCTCAGAGTTTTGAAAATAACAGAAAACGTTCATTCTGTAAGTTTAAAAAAAATCACCTCCATCATAACGTGTTCGACATCCGGTAGATGGGTCAAGACCCTCTGGACAGCGACAAGTGCACTTGTCCTTAATTACAGCAGGATAACCGGAGTTTGTACAGGACAGAGAAAAACTGCTACACCTCAGGCCTATAAATAGAAATATTGAACTGAAACAAATTTGCGTGATTGTTTTTGATTATGTGTAAAAGGTGAGGAAAACGATGTACCAATATAGATCCAGTAAACAAAAGCGAATCGATCGTGAACAGATAAAAACTATGGACCCTTGGAAACACTGAAGTAAGGGTCAAAGCCTAAAAGAAATAGACACATTACAAAATACGGCCTAATGATATGTTGCCCTTACACTTATAGTCATTATAACGATCGTTGAATTTTGAAAAAAAATCTAAAAGGGTCGTCAAAATCCTTGTCATATCAATGTATTTGTCAATAGCTTGACTTGGTTGAAAAATTAATCGTATTCCGAATCAGTTGGCACACATAAAAGATCATACGTAGGTGATATTGGAATATTGCAACATAAAGATGGGAAATTGCCAATGGAGAAGCTGAATTCACTCCGTTTGTCACGTAGTTATTAGTTGGGTATTATCGTTGATAGTCAGTAAAACATCCAAATATGCAACAGATATGACAGACTCTGTAGTGTATTTTATATCGAGTTCACTGGAAATTTTTTTTTTTAGATATATGCATGAAAGTAACTATTCCGAATTGATAAAAAGTCGTCCATATATAAAAATGTTAGGATGAACGCCTCTACATGAGTTTTCTTCTTCACATGAAGAAGTATTGGATAATTTCTTAGCAGTTTGCTGCTCTGTTCTTGATTAATAAGTACACAAAAGACCTATGGGCAACAACGCCCACCTGAGTAAGTATGGCCATTCTTGTTTTTATCAGCAGATTTTTTTCTATATACTCCTATGTAAAACTTTGATCGCCCATTGTACTCCCACACTTGCCCAAGGGGTTATGATTTGGACAAAATTGAATCTATACTACCTGAAAATGCCTCCAAATATGGCTTAGCTGTTCTTAAGAAGATTTTTAAAGTTTCTTTTTCTATATAACTTTGTTTGAATATTTTAACCCTATACAACCTACTGGGGGTCATGATTTAAACAAATGTGAATGTACACTACATGAGGATGCTTCCATTTAAATAAGACTAATCATGGCTTTGCTGTTCTTGAATAGAAGATATTAAAAGATCTTTTCCAATATATATCAATGTAAAATTTTGTTTACCCATAATGGCCCAATCCTATCCCCGGGAGACATGATTTAAACAAACTTGAATCTAAACTATGTTAGAGGCTTTTATACATGTTTAATCTTTTTTGTCCCATGGGTTCTTGAGAAGATTTTTAAATAAACCCACTCATTTTTTCCTTTTTTCTTAATTACTCCCCTAAGAAGTGATTGTGGCTCTTCATTTGAAGAAATTTGAATCCCCGTTACCCATGAATAGTCTGTGCAAAGTTGAAATTGGCCTAGTGGTTCTGGAGAAAATGTAAAAAAGTTTAACAACAACTACCACAGACAAATTTTGATCAGAAAAGCTCACCTTTGGCTCCAATAACTCAAAACATCTTTTTGTTGCTGATTTTTCAATCTACATATGCAATTATATATTTCTATTTATAAATAAGTTTTCCGTTATTGATCTCACTTTACTGACTTGTATGCGTCAAGTCAACTACAATAATTCTCACCTGTAAATAAAATTAATAAAAGCTTTTCTAAATATTAAAAAAAAAACATAGTAAAACAGACAAACATTTAAAATTATTGAAATTTGGACATATGTGGGTTAAACGTAAGATATAGCTTTCCTTTACAGTGTATACAGTGTATATACAAATTGTTTGAACTTCAAAATTAAAAACCTTGACAATCCATAATTTGCGACACCTCACTGAACAAATAATATTGGTAAGGGTCCGTTTTCTTGACTAGGTATTCCAATTCTGGATCAAATATTGTCATTGTTCTGCCACCATTTGAGAAGCCCTGTAAAAGACACGTATTATAGCTGTTATTCCTGTATTTTATTCCCTTAAATGGTGAAACTTTACTTTAAATAGTGAAACTTTTCTTAAAATAGTGAACCTTTACTTAAAATAGTGAAACTTTACTTTAAATAGTGAAACTTTACTTTAAATAGTGAAACTTTACTTAAAATAGTGAAACTTTACTTTAAATAGTGAAACTTTTCTTAAAATAGTGAAACTTTACTTTAAATAGTGAAACTATTCTTAAAATAGTGAAACTTTACTTTAAAGAGTGAAACTTTACTTTAAACAGTAAAACTTTACTTAAAATAGTGAAACTTTACTTAAAATAGTGAAACTTTACTTTAAACAGTGAAACTTTACTTTAAACATTGGAACTTTACTTTAAAAAGGGAAACTTTACTTTAAACAGCGAAACTTTACTTTAAACAGTAAAACTTTACTTTAAACAGTGTAACTTTACTTTAAATAGTGAAACTTTACTCTTGACTACAGATCGTTGCATTTAAATTTGTGGTACTTGTATTATGATTTTTTTTTTCTTTAAGTCTTTTAAAACTAATTAATGGATCCGAAAATTAATTTGATAGAACGTACTCATGACATAATTATAAGGATCTGTTACATACATTTACATGTATATGGGTGTTTTGTTATTAAAAATTTTGATTAAGATTTTCTCGATTTTATTATGTAAACTAAATTTCCTCGATTTTTTCATGCTTCAACGGAGCACGTTTACGGTTCGCTATTAAACATTCATTACAATTATATAGATGTCTATTAGTAATGGTACAATAGACTTACAGATAATGGGTAGTGCATTGCAGATGATAAATCATAATATCCAAACAATCTGATACGCTTGATATTCTGTTCATAATATTGATCTTGGTAATCTACAAATATATGGAAAATTTACAAAAACACAAAGAATACGTGTGAAGGGTGTTAAAAGTTCCTGCTTGAATATTATAATTAAATCTTCAATGATAAAAAAAAAAAAAAATTAAAGAAATAAATTGTCTGAAAGTAAAACGTTATTTATTACTTTACTCCATTAGAGCATTTTTAAAAAAAGATTAACACAGTTGTGACTTTATACATGTTTATTTCTAAATGAATTTTAAATTAAAATTTTATCTAAGTTACATCATTGTAAAAAAAAAAAATAGATATACAGCTTTGCTTGTTAAAATTTACCCTTCTGAATATTGTTGTAATGTACACCCATATAGATATCATGCAAAGGGTTAGCTTGTTCATGTTCCAACCCAAAAGCATGGCCCAACTCATGAATACAAACATCCTTAAAAATTAGAGTTATAACATTTAGTTAAGAAATATAAATATTATTAGAATAAAGAATATAAAGAATACACCCCTAGCACATTATGAGTTTAACCATTACTTTCATTTTTAAATCTTGAGAATTCATCATCCATGAGGTTGCATATTCTTCTGACTTATATACTTACGTTTGAACAGCAATTGATGCTTTGGTTCTTCCTTAATTTTCCAATGAAGGACCAACAACTCAAAAAGTCAATGAAAACGGTTAAAAATGATTCTACACTTTTTTGTTATAATACAATTTTACCGAGGACACAGACACGCATATACCGAACTGTCAATACATTCCGCTGTTTATTCTGTTCCAAGGAAATATTTGTAATCAATATATATATATATATATATATATATATATATCTATATCTATATCTATATCTATATATATATATATATATATATAAGGGATGTCAACGAATATTCTAACATTCGAATATTCACTCGATGAGAAAATATTCGAATATGAATTTAAGATTCGAATATTTGGTGTTTTTTCAGATTTCACAAAAAAGATAGTAAACTTTAATTAGAACAGTACTAGAATTATCCCCATTTTATTTACTAGTGATCCCCTGATTTCTTTCACTACTCTCTTATCTTATAGATCTTCTAAATTATTTTATTTTGAGTAAGGTATAAAAAAATAAATAAACAAGAATTATTAATGTTTAATACAATAAGTACTTTCAATAGCTTAATGTGATCGGATCTAGAATAATATTTTTGAGGACAACGAAATGAAACCGTTCTTGAATGTCTATGAAACGTGAAGAGCTCTACTTATGAAAATAAGTTTTATTGATCATTGAATTACAACGTTGATAGAATCAGCCTGTAATGTTGTAAATGGTTCAATTTCAGAATAATGCATCAATTACTTGATATCTCGTGTTTAATATTAAAATTTTAAATATTAAAATCGTTATCGGGAAGTTAATGACCTAGGAAAATTGTCTATTGAAGTGTTTGTTTATATTTTCAAAACATTGTATCTAAGCTTATATTATATCTCCTATTTAGCTGATAGTTATTATTAATTACGTGTATTTAAATCTGAAGAGAAAACGACAATTTTACCCCTTGTTAGACGACTGGTTCATCAGTTTGAGCTTGTATAGATATCATTTATTAAAATTATATATTTCGGTTGTATAACTTAAATCAGTTATTTATTTTAAACATTCATTTGATAAATATTAAATGTTGAATTCCTTATTGTATACCTACAAAAAACTACATCAAATTTTACTTCCAAATACCGATGCAAAACCTGCCATGAGAGTATGATGATGTGCATTTAAAATAAACCAGATTTTATTAATCTTATCGAATATTCGAATATATTCGAATACTTTCATTGAATATTCGAATATGAATTATTGACAAAATTGACACCCCTAATATATATATATATATATATATATATATACATATATATATATATATATATATATATATATATATATATATATATATATATATATATATATATATATATATATATATATATATATATATAAAGCACTACAAAAATCAACAACACCGTATATCCTAAGTGTCGGATCTACTAAATAGATACAAGTTTATATAAAGCACTAAAAATGACCAACGACACGAAAAATAGAAATTGTCAAATTTTTGGGACGCCATGTCCCTTCCTCAGGACAAAGAAAAAAGTTAAGAAGTCATAAAAACAAAGGAAATAGAAAAAAAAAACAACAACAACTTACACTACTACTAAACTACCAAACACTATTTATTTACAATGTTACATGTTTAATTTGAAGTTTATAATCAGTTGTAAAGAAAGAAATCCGGACCGCTATGAAATACGTCCGGTCTCTCGGGTGTACATGTACTCTGGCGATTTACATAATTGAACGAATTCGACAATTTCTATTGTTCGTGTCTTTGGTCATTTTTAATATATATATATATATATATATATATATATATATATATATATATATATATATATATATATATATATATATATATATATATATATATATATATATATATATAGTGCATTCATGTAAACGATGATCATTATCTTAAGCTTACGTTATTTCCTTGCTTTGCGCCAGCGCATTGTTACTAACGCGCTGTTACACTTTTGATAAAAGGACACTATATCACCATACCATATCATACTCATGCATAAATATTTCCAACTTAAAAAGATTTGCAAGGGTAGGGTACAATGATTGCTCTCTTGTGCTCAACATAATAAGATAGGGTTTGTGGACGCCTATAGAAGGAAATATATTATTAAGTATTTGGTTGTTATAAAGTCTGAGGTACCATTGTCAACTGTGCAGAATTAATCAACAGAAATTGTTTTTAGAAAAACCATCTCTGTTGACAATACATTCATTTCTTTGGATATGGCATCGGAGTAGCACACCAATTTACAGAACTAGATTTGCTTTTAAAGGCTTACCCTCTTTTTCTAACATGATGAAGATAAGTGTTGTGGTTCAAACCGTACTCCCGCTGTGTTGTATTTGTATAAGGAATAAATCGTATACATGTCCAGTATTCAAAATGGTTTTGAGCTCGTATTCGACCTAACTGCTCTTTTCTATCTGTAATGAAATATTGAGATAACGAACAGTAACCAAGCTCAAAAGTGCCTTACAATAGTATATGAATTCGGAGAATAACAAACACGGACCTCTAAAACATCAGAGGTGGGGTAAGGTGTCATGGAGGAGTAAGCTTCGCCCGAACATACACGCCTTGTGCTCCTTGTCATGATAGGGCAAACGGAAAAAATACGTACACGGGCTACAACCAGTAGCTCTTTCCAAAAAAAAAAATCATATTCACACAAAAATTTACGAGATTCTTACGTGTAACATTTGTCGTAACTTTTCGAGAGTTCTAACCCTCTCGTAAGTATCGTAGAGCCGATGTTTGTTTTTAAACATAACAGATAATACCTAGAAAAATAGAACTTATTTACGGATCCTATAATAGCATTTTATATTATTTCACAATTACTGTCGAAAAATTAAATGAACCATACTGCAAAATATTTACGATGGCAATTTCTCTTCAGATTTTCGGGAGGTCGTGAGTTCGAATCTCTGCCACGACTGACCTAAGTCGATAAAAAATGGGTGGCAACTGTTCCTTCGCCATGCGCTCGGCACTTTGAAGTGAAAGTTGCGGGTCCTTCGGATGAGACCATAAAATCCGAGGCCCCGTGTCACGGCAGGCGTTAGCACGATAAAGATCCCTCACTGCTCAATGGCCCTGAGGGCTGAGTAAAGGTCAAAATTTGAAGCCCTTCAGCGGAAAATGGTGATGTCTCTGTATGAGTGAAAAATTCTCGAAAGGGACGTTAAACAACATACAATCAATCAATCAATCTTACTACTGACCTACTTTTAGGTCAGACTATTGATTGCGACGTCAGATTTTGCTTCACAATCGATTGCTCTCGATGTTTTTCGTGATTAGTGTTTGTTTCACTTACAAGTGTTGAAAACTTCGCTTCATTTTTATTCTCATCCACTTTTTTAAGGATTAAACAGCATATTGAGATCGTTGCTATGGAAGAAGTCTTTCGTAAGTAAAAACTTAAGTTCAATCTGCTACATGTACGAGTGCGTTCGTAAAAAGCGCTTAAAAGATTTTTCTTTAGAGATTTTTAAGTTATATGTAAAATCTTACGCAAAAACTGAAGATTTTTTTTTTTAAAAGCCTTCAGGATATTCAATATGACGTGACAGTAAGCTATTAGACGTGAACTTTGGAGATAACAATTTCTTAAAATCTAAATTTAAAGATTGATTTGAGTCCTGAAAGCATGAATGAATGAAAGCATATAAAAGCTTAAAATGAACAAAATCTTGTCGTTTCTGGGTGGTATAAATCGCTATGTATTTGTCACGGGGGTTACATGTAAATACCAAACCCATGACGTCTATTGATCAATATTTGCAATGTGAAAATGAAACGTAACGAAAATTCAAGTAAACATACATAGGAAATCGGAGTTTAAAAGCATTTAACATGAATATCATGTGTTATTCATGCGGAATTAAAGCTTTTGAATAAGGTACGCTGATTTATTTATTTATTTATTTATTTTTTTTTTTTTTACAATTTCTAGGTATAATGAAGGCAGACATTGTTTTTTAACATCCAGATCAGCCTTTCCTGTCGTTCGTAACAACAAAGATGCAAAAGTTCAACACTACCCCACATACTTTGAAACATAATTTTTGTTTCTATCGATAGTTCTTTAAAAGTGCTGCTAGAATCGTATGGTCAACGGGCATTGATGAATTTTTTTCGATCAAAATATAACAACTGTGGCAAGGTTTCATCAGAAAGTGTATAATAATGATTTCTGTGATCGGAGTGTAGGATTCTAGTGGCACTTTTCATGACCCAGAGTTGATTTTACATAACTATTATTACAAATAGATATTAATTATCACCGGGGTAGAACTTTTCACTTTTCTTATTAAGGAATCTTTTTCATGATGACGTCGTGGTGGAGTGCTTCCTTTAGTCTAAAACTCGCCGAAGTCTGTAGAATGATAGTAAATGTTTTATCCATGACGTCTCCGATTTATTAATGTTACATTATACAAAAAAGTGTAAATTCGCCAAATTCTGATTTGTGTGCTGCCTTAACATACCTGCGTAGAAAACACTGTTTCTGACTGATATCAATTTAAGATAAAAAGATTATACAGTGAATGGGGGTGAAACACTTACCTGACAATGTTTCATTATCAAACAAATATGGCACAATTCCTTTATCCCAAACTCCAGGGTTGATTTTCGCTAATCGCTTATCTCTCCCTCTCTTTCGGACTGTTTTTTCCATCATCTTTATATATTTTAAAGAAGATAGATTGCCTTTTAGTTTTTTTTATCTGTTCAAATGTCATTAAATTTTTACTAAAATCCTGAACAAAAATGCGCCATTTATTAATTAGCACTCTTTTCTTGGAAAATGATGTATTTACTCTAAAGTAGGATTTCGAAGCGTTTATTTCTGTTAGAACTTAAAAGGAATACCTCACAATTAACACTAGGAGGAGGAACATCCCCAGGACTGCGTCCATGTTTTATGGCCAACTTCTTTTGGCGTTGGTACTCTAGACATTCGTCCTCCAGTTCCTGTATAATTTCTTCTTCATTATCCCTATGTATATTCACCCTCTGAATAAAAAAATATTTAATTAGAAAGACCAACCATTAAAGGAAAAAAAATTGGAAAAGTTACTTTCTATTTGAAATATATTATTTTTATGTTTGCTTACATGTTTCCTCCGTCGATGGTCGTGTGCTTCGTTGGAATCGCCCTTTTTACCAAACACGTGGTATTCGTGAGCATTATCTGCATCTCCTTCGTCGTCATCCTTTAATATACAACGAGAAGAGTTTACAACTAAAAAAATTACCAAAATAATAGAGATTATAATATAATTAGGATATATATGATCACAAGAATTAGTAGAGGTTTTGATCAGATTATAGTTTTACTCAATGAATAGAGATTATAGCCGAACCTTTATTATACAATGCATAGAATGGCATTTTTCATTTACACACTGTGCTATACTGCTTAATCCAAAATGTCTTGTATATCATACTCACTCCAAGATCGTCCTTAGGATTATCCCATGTCTTTACGATCTGTCCTTTAGGTACAACATCATCAAGTTTTTCTATCATCGAATTACTTTCATCTTTGATCTTTATTATAGACAAAACAAATGTAAATAATGTATTCGATTTTCAAAACGTAACTACACCACAAGGTTGCAGAAATGATCAACAACGGATACTTTCATACCCAACATACTAAAACAAGAATTACAATACCACCTCATTTTCCACTTGTTCTTGGAAAAGTGTTCATAGTTTAACTCTAAACTGTCATTACGAGTTATCCAACATTAAAAAATTGATAACAACATACACTTTAATGATATCAACAAATATGTGATCGACCATCTTTTAAAAAAAAAAAAAAAAAAAAAAACAAAAAAAACAAAAAAAAAAAACCTTTGTTACATGTAACATTAATGATATCACAGACAAGTCAATTTCTACTTGCGAACCTGTCCCAATTCAACTTTTGAATATATCTATTGATTCAATAATGCTGTATAAATTTTATTGAAGTGATATCGTCGATAAATCTTCATATATATTAATTGATGATGTGATTTAAATCAAAGTATTTAAGTACCTTTAAAGTGTTCTGAAGAAAAGGTATCACAAAATTTGAATTGATGAGGATGTTGAGATAAATGCTTTGCTTAAAGATGTTTGTAATCAAAGAATTTATGAATTAATGGAAATAATTTAAAAGATAAATTCTCCGGAACGTAGTTTCGGGGGTGGGGTGGGGAGGGGGTGGAGTGGGGATGGCCAGGGGTCTGCCTCCTTCTCCCAAAACATTATTGTTTACTATTGAAAATGTTCATATGCATTGAATGCTGTTTGCCCCCCCCCCCCTCCATTTTTTCGCAGTATATTGAAATCAGTGTGCTATGACAATGTATTAAAAAAAATTGTTTATCAAAGAAGTTTGAACCTACCCCCCCCCACCTCCCCATTGAATAGGATTTTCGAAACTGAAAGAGTTTTTCCTTTTTCAGTTTTTTTTTCAGTTTTTTTTCAGATAAGATGATGAATCAGCAAATACTATTTTCTTTAAAAATATCAAATGGCGGGTAATCTTTATTTTTATAAATCTGCATTTGAAATGTTGGCTATCGTTTCTGAGTTAAAGTGTAAATATTCTCTAAGCGTGTTCCATAAGTCATTCGTTTATTACTTTTTCCTCTTATCCTAGTATTATTATAACTATTCCTGTTTACATGTAATACTAATTCCAATATTAAGGACTAATGACCCTCAGCTCTAAATTTCACATTTTTTTTAAAAACTTCCCTATATTGATTTTCATCAAGAGCTACAGTGTATAGCATCAGCTTTAAATGGAAAATAGTATGAGGTATGAAGCGCTGTTTTTTTTTTTTTTTCAGAAATGCTTTTTATGTCGGATCATGATAAGAAATTTTCACACAGAGGATAGAAAGATAATGATTTAATATCACAACATAAAATTAAAGATATGAGGTGTATATGAAAATATTTAGTATCATACCTATTAAATTCATATTAGAAAACATTAGAAAGCGCTGCTTCCTAAGCAAGAATTCCTGTGTTGTATTAGTTGTAAGAAAAGAATTCATCTGTTAATTTTTCTTATAAATATTATTTTCATTGGGAAAAAAAATTAATACTAATAAAAATTCTACATTTGGTACTTGAAACATTAAACCGCTTTTAAAATGGTCCTTAAAAGATAGAACTTATTCAATTTATATGGCTTTTAATTCTGAATTTAAATGTTTTTTTTTAATATAAAAACAATTTGAAAAGTAAACAAGCATTCTGAGAGTATTGCATTAGCAATACTAGTCCCCTACCGGCAAGTGTAATCTGGTTGCCGTTAAGAATTGAAAATGCCATAATTCCGTCAAAAATTAATGAAACGGGACGAAATGCAAACTTGATCTATAACTAATCAAGGTAAAGCCACATACCAAAAATCAGCTCAATATCTACAAGCGTTTAGAAGAAAATTGCGGAAAACCCTTAAAAATTGAAAAGGCCGTAATTCTGTCAAAAATCAATAAAGCGGAATGAAATGTAAACTTGATCTGTAACTCATCAAGATACACTCACATACCAAAAATCAGCTCAATATCTGCAAGCGTTTAAGAAAAAAGTGCGGAAAACCAAGTGGGACAGACAGACAGACAGACGGACAGCTAGACGGACGGACAGACTCAGAGGAAACCTATAGTCCCCTCCGGTTTCACCGGTAGGGGACTAATAAGCAAAGGAAATAGAAGGTAATGTTTCCATCACACGTCAGGTTTGATGGAATTGACTTCTCCAAGATCTCAATAATGAAACTCTGATAATGGAAACTATGAGTAGTTTTCGTATTTTTTACTTGGAAAGTTATCTCTCATATCAGAGGGTCGGTCCCCCTTAACTGAGTGATAAGATTTTTCTTGATTAAACAGAGATGTATATTTCTGACATCTGGTAAGTCTTTTCAATTAATTTTTTACTGGTATGGGAAACTATTGTTGCCCTCTATTAAGTTTTGACACACAAATTAATCTTTTTTTTTTTTTTTGCTTGTGAAGTTTTTTTCATGTATTAGTTGAATTTTTTTCTCTAGCTGCCCCCTTTTAAAAACGATGCTACGTCGTTTTTGGAGACATGTTTTGGGACTTAAAACAACACCTCTTGTACAATGTAGCATTTATGTATACATATATATATCAACAGTGCCAAAACGTACATGTACCACGTACGTGTACACCATCCGAGTGTATACACACGTATTTACTTACTTGTTTAATAAGCTACAACTGGTTAGTACGTAAATCCTTCTTTGTTCAAAAGATTTCATATTTGCATCACTAGTCAAAGGATACTAGTATACGCTAAATCTGTTATGCTTGGTCATTATTTCAAACCAAAACAAAAAAAGTTACTGAGAGAAAAAGAAACATTTCATATGTTTTTTTGGATTAAGTATATATGTAAAAATTTAGCTATTTTCTTCTCGGACGTCATAATTGTGTAAATTCAAACTTTAAAGGTTATATCATTGTAGAATCGTTTACCGTTTGTTGTGGCCGAAGATCTTTGGTTAACGCGCGCAGTTTTCCCAAAATATCGTGTTTTGTGTCGACCACGTGTCCATCATGTCCAGGTGAAGTCCACAGCACCATTATCAAAATGGAGCACAGGGCGCCCGTACAAATTACCTGCATCTTCTTAGACTGAACATACGGACCTGTATCCAACTAATCTTTTACGAAATATGTGGAGAAAAATTTAAAATGGAGCCATTTAAGCAAAATCGTCGCTTTCTATCTGTATAGTTAAATGTACAAGGTTGATTAACTCTCGGTTTGTGTAAATTTCAGGGTTTTTTTTCACTTACATGCAGAAAAAATACTATTATACATAAGCATATAACGTATAAGAAATTAGACTCATTTTCTGTTATACATAAGTGGGAAAATGAACAAAGTAAATAAAAAAAATATCGAATTCTGTTGATACAAATATTGCAGACGATGTTTTTCGAATGTCATATCAATTGTAATAGTGAACGTCGGAAATACTCTCAGCATATTTCAGCACTTATTACCAAAAAAAAAAGTAAATCAAGTTCATCATTTAAAAAAAAATAGAATAATCATCGGACACGATCTTACATAATGATATTGTAAACACCTAGATAGTATTTATTTTGTAATCTACCATTTATTATACAATCTACTATTTATCATGCAATCTACTTTTTATTTCACAGTTTATAGAACGTATATGATAAAGAAATATGAAATTTGTTCACGAACAAGTGCATTGAACTTTCTGGTCACTGGAATATGATTCTGACTCTACTATTAATAACAATTATCAATACTCTAATTCTGATAATGAAGAATATGGGTTAGATATAGATCCTACTATGAGTGATTCACCAGAGCAGTTAATTAAGGTAGAACAAGAAATGGAAGTTGACGGTATAAATATTAAATGTAATAACTACAAGTTAAAAAGAGGCTTCTGTAATGGTTGTATGAAACCACCTGTAATGCCTAGAAAACGGGTATTAGTACAAAATAAAGAGTGTTCGCAAAGTATAGATCATAGTTATAACCCTAAAGTAAAACCTAGAAGATCACAGGAACATAAGGAGTTGTGTCATTGCGCATTACGAGAAAAAATAGTACTGTCGCAGATCAATATTATCAGGATCGTGGGGAAATTACTTCAAGTATAAATCAGGTAAAATTTCTGAATATTAAACAAACTGTGCTAAGAGTTTGAAAGTTTCCTCGACCCTTTAAGATTGATGAAACATGTAAATTTGGTTTGAGAAAAGTGTATGTAAAAACATGAATAGTTGCCTTTGGATATCTCTCTTCTTCATTAATGCCACTTACGGATCTTTGACAGCTACTTGTAAATACTCAAAAACAACTACCAAATTTTAAACAATAATTGAAAATTTCATTTGTTTTCATTTTATAGTCTTGCACAACCTTACTGCAAGTTGATCATCTTGTAAGTGTCATAACTATTTTTGTATAAACAACTTCTTGGAATTACATACCATAGCAATTATGGGGAATGGTTAAAATTTCATCCAACGTAATGTTTTACTTTATTGAATGTGGGATCATATACACCAATAACAAATCAAAACGCTTGAAGACTTAAGGTTTGTGTCGTAGAATTTTGGGTGTAATTCATGGGTCTTTCATACTACCACCTTTTTATAATCAGGAAAGTACCTTTGATTTATTTTCATCTATCTTTTGATGATTTTGTTTAAAACAAACTTCACTTTGTAAGAATTGATTTTAAAAAAAATGTTTCTCTCCAAGAAAAGTTAAATACATATCAAAGAATTACCTTTTCTAAATCTAATCAAAGAATTATTTTTAGATAATGTTGAGCCTATGCCTGCGGAAAAATGGTTTCAAATGCCTGGGTTCTATTTATCTCCAATTTTGCTTTTATTATGTGTCGTTTGTTTTTGTGTTATTCGTAAGAAAAAGTTAAAGAAATGTTATCTAAATTTTAAAAATAAGTGGTCATCTAAGATACTTGGTAAAGAGAGTCCTTTGTCTAAACCACCTGTTGGGACTAATCCAAAGGACGCAAATACAGTGGATGATGATGATACTGACATGGACGCATTGCTGGAGGAAGCTATATGTTGGTTAAACAATATCAGCAGGAGAAGGCGAGATATACCAGAAGGATGAGACCTCGATGAAGGTATATTGCTGCATTAGTAAGGGAAATTGACGATTGAAAAGTTAAAGTCATCACGTTTGTCATAAAGCTTGGTTGTTAGATTACCATTAACGTCTTTTTCAAGTAAAATATCCAAATATGAAACAGATGTGTCAGACTCTGTAGTATATTTTATCTCAAGCTCACTGGGATATATCGTATCGACATAAGAATGGAAGTAACAATTGTTAATTGACAATTCGTCGTCGATATATCTACAATGTAAATGTCGAGTTGAAGGCCACAACAAGTGTTTTCTTCTTATCATGTACAAGATTTTGGACAAATTCTGCTTCATATGAATACAAAAAAGGTCTGCTAATAGTATAGGGAGTTCTTTGACAAAGAAACGAATCTAAAATATATCTATCAGATGGGTGCTTTATTTCCTTGCTTTGAGAAAAAAGGCGTTAAATGTGTCAATGATCTATTAAAAAGTTAACATTTTAACAAAAGAAGGTATTATAGACTTGGATGATGGATGACAAAACATGGGTGCACTTTTTAAAGCCCAGAAGGAAGATTAATAATAAGATATGGAATCAAAAAGCTGTTCTTATTATTGCAAGGAGAAGCTAGGTCTCCAAACATGTTTTATACAGGTTTTCTTTTTTACTCAAGAGGTCCAGTATATTAAAGGTATATACACCCAAATGAAAGGCCATCAGTGGTAGCTTTTATGTTAAATTTGCACTGAGGAAAGTTAAGCAGAATGTCTGTAAGAAAAGCTCAAATACCTGTCCCCAGGGTAATTTTCTTGTACCTGACATCAACTGCAACAAATAAGCATAGATATATATAAAGGAAATTTATTGATTTTTTTTCGAAACATTACTCCTCCTACAGTTTTGTTCAGATTTCAATAAGACTTAATTGCCGTTTTGTGTACCTTATGCCATGCCTATGTTGAGGGATCTTTATCAAAGAATAAACATGACTCAATCAAAACGTATAAATAATCCTTGATTAAATATAAACGATTATATATTACGTATATGGTTTCTGGTATGATTTATAATTTTTCAAGTGATTAACCTGATTACATAATTTCCGTTTTGTTCCGCTTTCCGTTGCGTTTTCCGTTTAAAGTATTCAATGTATAACGACCATTTTTTGTACTTAATAAATGAATGGTCCGATTTTTAAATCATGGTAGAATTTTGAAGGTGTTATCAAACAAAATTACACCATCAAAGGAATTTACCCAGTTTTGATTATTGTACAATTAATTGTACCTTAAAGTTAACATTGAACTCTGTGGGCAGCGCATGTGTTATTAAGATATTATAAAAAGTAATCTGAATTTCATACAAATCTTTTGGTGACTATATGCATAGACTCTCTATTTATTACAATATGAAATAAAATGACTCATTCACCCTAGACACTTTTGAAAAAAAAAAATTTCGTCTAATCATCAAAGGCAGATAACTCTTCAAAAACTTTTATGGTGCAAAATGACTGGCTTCTTACGTGTTGTCTGTCATGTGAATTTGGTTTTCATTTCACTTTCATCGTTATCAAGCAATGCATTTTTATATAGTTTAAGATGATTCAAATTTGTTTAAAATCCCTTCATTATAAATTGAATACCTTAAGAAACACCATCTTTGACCTGCTGTTTGAATTTCATTAACTTTGCTGACAATAAATGTGTGCGTTAGTAAAAAAAAAAAAAGACATGATAGCAGGAAGAAGATCTGAAATAAAAAAAAAACCTTCTTCACATAGACCAGGTGGTTAAAAATATGACGGTATGCGGGTCATGTGATCTTGATACATAGGACCAAACATTGTGTAGACTTAATCATCAGGATCCATAAGACAATTGCCATTACTTCCAAAAGTCAGGTAATACAGTATTTCCATGTGACAGTCACAAAGCATGATGAATATTACCATTTGTATATCTAAAGAATTGATATATACAGTACCGACCGGACACAACCTAACACCAGAGCGAACCCAAAGCTCACCCCAGGTTCGCTTCCTGGGTTCGCTCGGGGCCCGCTGCGGGTCCGCTTTCAGAAAATTTGGGACCGCTCTGGGTGCGCATCGGGTTCGCTCTGCGTTCGCTCGGGGTCAGCTCTGGGTCCGCTAGAGCGAACCCGGCGTTCGCTTTCCGGGTTCGCTTTACGACTCATGCGTGAAGCGGACCCCGCTTTAATCTTGCCGCCAGTAAGCCCCGCCCCTTGTATATTCCAAATACAGTAGTGAAATTGATCATTACTGTTTTTATGGCGATCGAAACATGTACATGTAAGTGACAATATGGAGAACGTTGATAAATTTTCAAGAATTTCACCGTACATTCGACGTAGAATTATCACTTTTATTTTTCTTAACTTACAAGCTAAGTATATCTCGAAAGAAAAAGAAGAAAAGGTCTTAAATTTATTTTCGATGTATCGGATGGAGTGAAATTGATAGGAGTATCTTAATAAAAAAAAAGTTCAAGTTCATTTATTTACATTATTCATGCGTTTTAAAATAAGTTGGAACTTGCAACTGGAATTGCAATCGCTAAATCGTAATTTAAATGTTTGAAAGACAAACAACTGAATTATGATCTTATCTATGAAATAGCTGAGGCATACTGTACACGTAAAATGCTAAGTTTCATATTTAGCAGTTTACATTTAAAGAGGCTGGGGGGTTGTGGCCATTTTTAGACTATATTGATCTCCTTTAGAAGAAGAGCTCCATATGAAGATATAGAAAATGAACAAATTTTAAAACTAAAATTTTTGAAATTTTTCTTTGCCAAATGATAGTTGACAGCTTAAGATATCATATCTAAAAAATTAAGTTAAATCTGGTGGTTAATTTGTGGTTAATTTGTTGACCCCCAGCCTCCTTAAGCTAGATTGTCGTCC